CTCACTCTCTCACTCTCTCACTCTCTCACTCTCTCTCTCACTGGCTCACCTGCCCTGGGCATAGGACTGGCACAAATGTGGTGCCTGGAATCACCTGTGGTTCCTGTGCTTGCCTAACCTTGCCTAAGCAGGTGCTTTAGTCTTCTGAGCTATCTTACCCACTTCTTGACTCTTTTTTGCATATGAAATGTTCTTATGTGACAACAGCAATGAAATACACTGCTGGAATTCTAATTCCAGAAGGTTTTTGAAAGCATAAATTAAGGTATCATTAAAAACAACAACAACAACAACCAAAAGAGGGCTGGAATAATGCTCAGAGGTAGAACATTTGCATGTTATTTGCATCCATGACACTGAAGGAAAACATTCTCATCACCAGAATTATCCTGAATTTTATTCTTTAATAGAGCTCCATATCTGTCTGTGTCGTATTCTTGTGTATGTTCTTACATGAGCCCTTTACATTGCACCTGTCCTAGTGTCAGGTGATGACTCAGCAAAGACTAAGAACTTAGCATTGCCTTGTTGTGTGCTTAACTAGGCTTTGTCAGGAACTCTGCACTTAAAGATGAAACTGTAAAGGTCATGAGGCTTCTTTCCTCCTCATTCTCGAAGATGACAGTCATTGCCATTGTCTGACTTGAGGAAAGTAGTGCAATGAAATAAAGTGGCATTTCCTTAGGAAGATTCTTACATTATTATTTAGGACACAGGGATGCTTCCCTGTTTGGCAACTTGAATACTATAGATTTTAATAATTATAAAACACAAGCTGAACACTGATTTCATAGTAATTTTAAACTTAGATGTCAGTTTCTTTTTTTTTTTTTAAAGATATCCTTTTGAAAATTTATTCACAGTACTATCAACAATAAAGCACTCTTTCAGTTCTTATGAAGTTTCCATTTTAAAGACTGTCTTTCAAAAGTACTTACAAAACAGCGATATATCATTAAAGCATTTGCAGTCAAGTTTTCAAATAAATCATCTTAATACCTTTCTATGGAATTACAACAGCATTACCATCATAGTATTTGTTTGGCTTTTTTTTGGGGGGGGTACTGGGAATTAAACTCAGAACCTCTTGCTTGCCAGGCAGGAGCTGTGCTCCTGAGATTTAGCCCCAGCCCGCAGTATTTTTATTAAAAATTAGTTCTTTCATTACTAACAAATCTTGGTTTTTAATACAGGTAGTCCCCCTTATCCAAAATAGTGGGACTGCCCAGATGCAGAGACGCTCGCCTTCTAATCCCAGCACTCAAGAGGCTGCGGCAGGAGCACTGCCGCCAGTGTGAGGCCAGCCGGGGCCACTATGCAGTGGGTGGAGGGCAGTCTGAACTGCACAGGAAGACCCATCTCAACCACACAAGTTGGGCCCCCAAGTACTTCGGATGTGCATACACATATGTGATACGCTGGGCATGGAACTGCAGTCTAAGCAGGAAATTCATTACGTTCACGAAGGCAGTGCGGCACAGTGATCTTTATACTGTTCATGAGCCATGGTTGCGTGGTGTATTTTCCACTCAAGCCATCACGTTGGTGCTCCAAGTTTAGGATTTTAGAGCATTTTGGATTTTGGATTAGGGATGTTAAGTCTACTATGCCTTGGCAAGGTAGAAATGAGATTTTTTTTTTTTTTTGGTGCTGGTGATTGAACCAGGTCCTGCCACTGAGCTACATTCTAGGTTTAACTTGTTAAAATGTTGAACTAGGGTTTGTTCAATTTCTAAGTTGCCCAGGCTGGACTTGAACTCCCAGTCATCCTGCCTCAGCCTCCCACAGTGCTAGGAGTACAGGAGTTGTCACTGTGGCCAACTCAAACTATAATCATTTCAAAAATTTTGTTTCATTTTCTGTGCACCATTTGGTGTAAAAAATAGCATCTGGTCCCAAGTGTCTTTGTCTGCAGACACTCTACTGCAGACGGTTTTCGTTTTTCTGACATCTCCAGTGTACGATGCTAATCGCTAAGCTCTTCCTCGTCACTGAAGTACGCGCTCTTCTTTATCCTTGGGCGCCGTGAATCCTTGGAAGTCGAAGGGCCCCCAGCACTGACTTTCCATTTGTTTTGTTCTTCCATCTTGGCTTGCCCACATTCGTAACATTTAGATTTATCAAAGTAGTTTCGCCTTCGGATGAATTCAGCTGCTCTTCCATTGTCAATAGCAATGCTTGCCTTTATCACTCTACCAAATAACTGTTTGTTATTTATGGCTCTGGTGCAGCTTTGTGCAGAGTCTTTATCCAAAAACAATATAAACGCCACTCCTTTACTCTTCCTCGTGTCTTTGTCTTTCATTATAGTAACCTTCACAACTTTGCCATACTTGGAAAATATCCAGTATAAGTCGTTGTTTGTCAGGGAGAAGGGCAAGTTGGACACGTACACTGTACTCTTACTTGGAGTCAGGCCACCACTCATTTCTTCGGGCGGGTCGGCCCGGGTGGGGCCGGCGCCGAGCGGGGGTTCCTGGGCGGCCGAGGCCGCCGCTGCGCGTCTCGTGGCTGGCTTCAACCCGGCCGCGGGGCGGGCGCCTGTCAGTTTCTTTTTCAGCTTGTTTATAAAGCCAACTTTTTTTTAGGTCTGGAAATTGAACTTGGGACCTTGTACTTGGTGGCGGGCCACTGAGCTACATCCCCAGCCGAAGCCAAATTTTGAATTTCACATTAAACAAAGATAGAGAAATATTGTGGTTTAAAAATTAAAATTATTCATAATACAGAAGGAAATGTCAGCTGAATATTCATGAACCAATCTGATATAATAGATTTTATTTAACTCTGTTGTCACTAGAAAATCACCTATGGACAATTGTTTCATTGATTGTTCTTTATCTATATATTTTTTTCTATGTATACTTTAAGAAGATGATGTACATATTTTTTAAAGATAATATAGATATGTTACAATGGAAATAGTGCTTTTTCATTTCTTCCCTAGCATAAAGCAAAATTAAACATAAAGTTTTAGAATTAAGTAAAAGGAAGTATATATAAATGTATGGATGTAAAATACATTTTAAATATACATATGGTATCTATCAAATAACTTTTTTTTGCATTTAGTATAGGGTCTAGAGCATCTACAAGGTCTACAGTGTCTACAGGGTCTCACTACATAGATCAGACTTGTAGTGGTTCTCCTGTTTTCAGCCTCTCAAGTGCTGAGATTACAGGCATGTGCCACCATGCTCAGTTTCAATTGCCATCTCAGTGCAACCTGAGGGTGGGGCTGGCAGGGCATGCCAGGGATTGAGCCCTGGCTGCTGTACTCTGCCTAAGAAATCAAATATATTTGATAAATTTATGCTAGATGTTTTACGACAAATAATTTAAACCAACCAAAAGCATATTTAGATGCTCTGAGATTAATTCGGAGTGTCTAAGATTAAATGACTGAATTACCTATAGAATTACGAAGTACTTCATTTATCACTTGAACTATTTACAGTGATGAAAATAGCAGTATGACAAATACATTGCTAAAATAATGTATGAAAAACTTTTATCTAGTTATATTATTTGAGCTTTTATCTAAATATCACCATGTTTATATTAATGAAACTGTGCTTATCTGACTTTGTTATAAATCAATTTTTATATAAATTCTTACCATTTTAAAATAATTAATTACTAAATTAAATTAAATTATATAAGAAAAAGAAGAGTCTCCAGAAGTGTAAGAAAATGCATTTTGTATAGGCCACAAAACAAAGAAAGAAGAAAAATGTCAGTCATAGAAGTGAGGAAAAGAGGAAGAACTGAAAAGTATGTTGAACTAACAAAGTTCAATTAATAGCAGTTTTAAATAATGGTATTAAAACCCAATTAGCTGAATCTCTGAAAAGCAATGAATGACATAGTATAAATCAGTAAAACAATTTGTAAGTCATATTTACTAGTAAAAATAATAAAATGAATAATATTTTTCAAAGTTTCAGTTTTATTTCATTTTGCCAGGTGTGGTGTTGCAGGCCTGTAATCCTAGCATTCCAGAGGCTAAGGCAGGAAGATTGCCATGAGTTAGAGTCCAGTCTTCGCTACATAGTGACACCTTCTCCCTCTCGCTCTCCCCCTGATATATTTAATATTTCATTTAGAAACTCCATCTTTTGAGTACAAGTACTGATTTTGTTCTTTTTAGTCTTCAGTAAATTACTAATGATGGACAAAATTATATGTGAGTGAAATAAGTCATAACTATTGTACCTAAATTTAGGTCTTGTAACCTAAATTTGAAGGTTAGAACCTAAATTTTGCCTTGATTAAGCTTACCTATGGGAAAAGTTTCTGTTGGGTTCCAATTGGTTTATTGTTGTCCAGATAAATTTGTGAAGTGCTGAGGTGGTTTTTCTTCACCTGTTTAAAAAAAAAAATACTCCCTGTTTTCAGTACATAATGCTTATACTCCCTTCTGTAGAGTTGTACGTGTTTATAACATGTCTTAATTGCTTTTAAAATCCCCTTTCCCTTCTCTCCCTTCACCTCCCCCTATTTCTTGATCCATTTTCTCTCATTTTTGAACATGTTTGTGGTACCTAAGTTTATAGTCCTTGTGTGGACTTTGGGATATAGACATAACATGTCAATTCATTTTCTCATCCTTTGCCTATCCCTATCTGTCTTTTATCCCTTTCCCTTTGAGAAAGATGTATCTTCCTGTATCCTATTATCTATCTTTTATTTTGCGTTTCATAGATAGATTTGGGTTTCCTATACAAGAAAAATCATGTGATGTTGAAACTGGTGTATATGTCTACCAACAAATGAATGGATAAAGAAAAGCTGATATTTACCCAGAGTGGAGTATTACTCTGTCATAAAAGGGTAAAGATGAATCATTTGTAGGAAAACAGGTGCATCTTGAAACCACAATGTTCAGTGAAACAAATCTCTTGATATTTTCTGTTATTTTTAGACAAGCAATCTTTAAGCAGCTCACCAAATTGGCATTGTTAAAATAGATATATCCTTCTATGTATTAGGAATAACTTCTTTTAGCAATTACTGTGTAACACTCACTTTAATTTTTCTTAGACTTCCCAAGAGAGAAAAAAACAAATAATGCTTTTGTTCAGTTAACTGACTGTGAGCTCAAACCAACCAACCAACCAACCAACAAAACCCTTTGGATTTTTAAACCACAAATACTGAAATGAGAATCTATATGGTCAATAAAAATTAGAGCAATTTTGGGGTTCTTTAAGTAGATATCTTAACAATGTCCAAATGTTAGTGATATATATTGAGTTTTAATTGAAATACAATACTGGTTTCTCTTTCTGAGTTTTGCTTTGCTATACTTAAGGACATAGGATATGAGCTCAGAGGATCTGGCTTCTAGTATCTGGGTTTGTCATTGAGTTAACTGTGATTTTGAACAAATTGTTGATCTCTCTACTTCAGTTTCTTATCTATAAAATAGGAATAATAAGAACACCTATCACATAGGACCATTATGTAGCATAAATAAGACTATGTAGAAAGGGTACTGGGTGAGAACCTGACATACAGTAGGGTTTAACAGATTCTTATTAAATGCATATCTAGTTAGCAGCTTGTCTTTTACCTCTCTAGTAGACTATACTATTCACATTTTCATATCTTGTCCGAGCTAACAGTACTTTTTTCCTGCAGCAGGTCTTTTGAGAATCTCCAACTTTTAGCTTTATTTTATTTTATTTTTTTTAAATTTTATTTATTTATTTATTTTTTATTAGTGTGTGTGTGGCCAGCTCAGCCCACCAGGGGGCGGGGCTGGCTGGCATGTGGTGCTGGGGGATTGAACCGTGGTCCCTGTGCTTTGCGAAGCTTGTTCTAAGTAGGTGCTTTAGACCACTGAGCCATCTCACCAGCCCTAACTTTTAGCTTTAGAGAGCACCACACTGCCCATTATCTGCAGGCTTGGTCTTCAGATGGGCTCCTGCCTGGCTGCAACCTTCTCCTTCCTCTTCTTTTTCCTGACCAGCTCAAACTTATCCTTCAAGTTTCTCCTGTTTTGTTCTCTGGCCCAGTCTTGCCTAGAGCCTTTAACATCCATGGTCATTACTGCTAATTTATTTTTTGAAGGATTATAAACTCTGGATATGTGTGGGTGAAGACAGGGCAAGCCCTCCTGACTAATGTTAACCCTATGCATAGTTAACACTGGCTGGGTAAATGAATAATTAAATGAGTGATGGCTGTAAAGCTCAGGTCTTTCAAAGGGCAGTTGGCAGAGCCACTTCTTTTCTTTAACTGTTCCTCTCTGTGTTTCTGAGTTGCTTTTTAACCTGTTCGGAAAATCTATATTTACTTTCTTATTTATTATTATTAGCTTTTATACCAGGAATCAAACTCAGGAACTTGCCTGCCTGCAGACTGATTTTAAAAAAATTAATCAGTTTGTAAAGTTAGTTTATTCATTTTTTAAATTTTTACTTTTTTATATATTTAAGACAGGGTCTAGAGTCTACAGGGTCTCATTACCTAGATCGGACTCATAGTGATCCTCCTGTTTTCAGCCTCCCAAGCGCTGGGATTACAGGTGTGCTCCACCATGCCCAGTGTCAATCACATCTCAGTGGCCCCCATGGGCAGGGCCAGCATGGCACACCAGGGGTTGAACCCATGGCCCCTGAGTCTGCCTAAGCAGGTGCTTTAATCTGCTGAGCTATTTGGTCAGGCCTATAAAGTTAGTATTTATAGATACTATAACTCAATAGTTCTATCTCTAAGAGTTACTTATAGAATATATTATGTTCAAGAATATTAATAAAGCTTATTAAAATGGAAAAATGAATGGAAACAATCTAAAGACATAACAATAATGCATGGATTAAACACGTTTGTAGCTTAGACACATTCTATTGCATAGAATATGCAATATTCTATGACCCAGGTATGAATGTGTGTGCATATAATTTAACAAGAATAAACATAGCATTTTAAAATGAAAAAAATCAAGCCCAGAACAGCCCATAAATCTGTTGGAAATGGCAGCTAATAAAATCACATATGCACACATTAAATATACCATGGCTATATTCAAAGTAGAGGAATTATTTTCCAGGGGCTTTTCAATGAAGAGGATACCAAAATTCAGTTTACAAAATTAATGTTGTAGGACCAGGCTTAAAATTTAAGTTTTTATTATGATTTTTGTGTTCAATATTTTACCTTGAATTTTATGTATGTGAAGTATTGCCAGCTTGCATATGCTGAAAGTTTGATTCTTTACTGAATTTTGTTGTATTTTCAGTGTTACATTCCAAACATTCCCAAATAGAATATTATATCTTCTTTTTGCTAATTTTCTTATGACCTAACTGCTAATTTCTCCATAGTATTCTCTGGCTTCCATTCTTCCATGAGGCTCTCAGCAATTCTTGGCACTGAAAGCCCTGGGTCACATTCTCTAAAAGATGTCATGGAGACTCAGAGAGCTTAAATGGTGCTTCAATGAGTCCTCACAACTATTTTTCAAAAGCCTACAACTTTAGTATTAATTTATGTGACTGTTTCTTTGAAGAATA